GTTTGACAGGCCTGTGCTAGAACATAAAATGAGAGCAAACCCCACTCCCTACTAGCACTGACAATGTTATCTAATTCTGCTAATGAAACATCTGCAAGAAAACAATCAAGCTCAGAGAGTAGCAAGGACTCTTCTATTGGTTCTTTTGGGATATTTTTTCATCTTCCTACATAGTTTAGTCTTCATACTAAGCTAAGTTTCTCATCTCACTATTCTGTTTTAGTTTCTGAGCTGAGGCCATATCAGAAAGATGCTGCCATCTGCTGAGATTATTGATACAAAGATGTTAATGTTAGTAGACTCAAAAGTAACAAATTGAAAACTAATATATACTTGTTTGAATCAAAATTAGCTTCTTTTAACTTACCATCACAATTCCTCCAAGATATTCAAAAACACAATGGGCTATGCACCCATACTGAATGGTATACCCCAGAAGTCGGAAAGTCTTTCCAATTACATCTTGCAACATAACAGTATAATAGGTGTGCAGTTGGTCCTAGTTTAAAGAAAAGCACACTAATTATTCATTTTTACAGAGATGTGTATATCACATTTATATTACCAGCAACGCTTAAGATATTTCTATTATAAATTACTGTATATTCAATCAAAATGCAATAGTTTGGTCTAGAGTTTAAGGCACCAAGCTAGAAACTGTGAGTTCTAGTCCTGCCTTACGCCTGAAAATCCATAAGAACAAAGAGAATCTAACACCAGATATAAACCAGGGCCAACAAAGTCATTTCAGTCTTCAATAATCAAATAATATTTTAACTACACTGAAATGTATTTTAGAATGAGATGTCACCATACAGTGTTTTCTCATGTTGGTTCTTTTTTTTTGCTATGATTTTTAATTCTTGTTTTATGCCCATTTGAGTATCTCTGTGACTATGTGGACATTCCTTATAAATTAATTTAGTACATTTAGTTTTAAATTCAACTGTTTTTGTTTTGACTTACAGGTAGTCTTTTCTCATATTAAAGTATGATTCCATCAAATGACTAGAATATTTTTTATCATAGTATGGTATGGTATTACATTCCTAGTTTATTCATTAATCACATCAAACCAGGGGTACATGTAAATGTGTGTGGAATGATTGTTTAATTTATGTTTAATTTAAGCAAAGAAAATTTGTCAGGAGATCAATTATTATCACAGGACAATTGGAATGAAATACTATAAAGTTAACTATTGGCAGATATAATAATAAAGTCTTCCTTTAATTTTATTTATTTACTTATTTATTTCTCCTCCATATGGATATCCCTTTGCTTGTGTGTTCTGTTAAGGTTGGAAGTTATGCTGGAGGTATATCACAAGATACCGTGTTTCCCCGAAAATATGACATGTCCTGAAAATAAGGCCAAACCTGATTTTTGGGGTGGACCTAAATATATGCCCTCCCCTGAAAATGAGCCTTAGTAAAGGGGTGGACGTGGCCAGCACAGGAGGCCCTTCCTTTCCCCAGTCAGCTAATGGCAGCTGGGCCCCTTAATTGCGACCCTCGGATCAGCTGAGCTGATTGGGAGCTGCCTCTCATTCTATCTCTCCCCAGTGTTCTTGGCGCTCACCCGCCTCCTATTAATCCATCCCCTCACCTGCAAAGTCCTGCCCTGCTTGCAAGAGAGCAGCCACCCGGCCTCTCTTGCCACGTGGTGCCCACCCAGCAGCCGAACAGAGCACCACTCACTGACTGAGCGGTAGCCCAGGATCACAACATTTGATGGACCAATTCAGTGCTTGTTGTTAAAACATATCCAAGTGTGAGGGCGGTTCAGATCATGAATTGTTGGTAGTAAAGATTAAAAACAAACTGCACCATCAAAACGGCAGTGCCTCCAAAGTCTGATGTCACCAAAATTCCTACTACATTTACAATTGAGGTGAAAAATTGGTTTCAGTTACTGGACACTGCTGAGAAGACTTCTGATCAACTGTGGCAAGAAATTCAATTGACCATTATTGGAATTGCAGAACAACACATACAATACAATAATACAATAGCAGTTGGAAGGGACCTTGGGGGTCTTCTAGTCCAACCCCCTGCCTAGGCATGAAACCCTATACCATTTCAGACAGATGGCTATCCAACATCTTCTTAAAGACATACAGTGTTGGGGCATTCACAACTTCTGGAGGCAAGCTGTTCCACTGATTAATTGTTCTGTCAGGAAATTTCTCCTCAGTTCTAAGTTGCTTCTCTCCTTGATTAGTTTCCACCCATTGCTTCTTGTTCTACCCTCAGGTGCCTTGGAGAATAGTTTGACTCCCTCTTCTTTGTGGCAACCCCTGAGATATTGGAACACTGCTATTATGGGAGACCCCCTAATCCTTCACTCCTATTAGGGAGACCCCCTAATCCTTCTTTCTCTTAAACTAAACATACCCAGTTCCTGTAACCGTTCTTCATATGTTTTAGTCCATACAGGAAGCCAGAGAAAAAGGTTAACAACAAGACTCCAGGTGCTGACACCATCCCTGCAACATTACTGAGACCTGTATCATCCAAAGTCATTAGAGACCTGTGCCAGAAAATTTGGGAAACCAACACATGGCCACAGGATTGGAAACTCTCAGTGTTCATTCCATTACCAAAAAAGGGTGACTCTAAAGATTGCTCCAATTACCACACAATTGATCTCATCTCTCACATCAAAAAGATTCTGCTTAAAATTATAAAACGTCTAGCACCAACTATCAAAAGGGAATTGCCAGATGACCAAGATGGCTTCCGAAGAGGTTGTGGTACCTACAACTGTGTTGCAAATGTGCACCAATCTTGGGAATATTTTTAAAAAATCATTTACATGTGCTTCATCAACTACAAGGAAGCTTTCAATTGTATTGGTCAAAAGCTATGGAGAGCTCTACAAGACCGGGGAGTGGGGGGGGGGGGTACCAGCACATCTTATCAAGTTGATGAAACACTGTATACAAATCAGGAAGCCACTGTGTGAATACCATATGGAGACCCCAATTGGTTTAAGATAGAAGTGTGATAAGGTTGCATTCTCTCCCCTTTCTTATTCAAACTGTATGCCAAAACATCACGAGGAAGCTATATCTCAAAGAATAAAAAATCAGGGTAAAGATTAGAGGAAGAAACATCAACAATCTTTGATATATTAATGATACAACTTTCTTCTCAGAAACCAAAGAAGGCCTAGAGCATCTGATTAATAAAATCAAAGAAGAAAGTGAGAATTTTGGTCTCTTTCTGAAAATCAAAAAGACCAAGCTCATGACCACTGCAATGGAATGGAAACATCAAAATAGAAGCTGATGGTACAGCAATAGAATGCATGAAAAAAATCACTTTCCTGGAGTCACAGATCACTCAAAGTGGTGATGGCATCCCAGAAATAAAACGTTGAATTGCACTGGGTCACACAGCAATGATGAACATAAGCCAAATATGGAAAAGCAAGGACCAAATGTAGGTTAATCCACTCTATTGCGTTCCCCCCAGCTATCTATGGTTTTGAAAATTGGATTTAAAAAAAAGCAAGATAGAAAGAAAATTGACTCATTGAGCTTTGATTCTGGAGAAGGCTTTATGTATTCCTTGGACAGCAAAGGCGATCAACAAGTACTGGAGCACATAACACTAGGCATGTTTCTGAATGAAAAAAAAATCATAAAACTGCATCTCACTTATTTTGGTCATGCCATGCAGGGAGTTCATTGGGGAAAGCAATTATGTTTGGAAGCGTTATCAGTAAAAAGAAACCAGGTGACCTAGGTCATTGTTTTCAGTGCTGTTGTAACTTTGAATAGTTACTAAATGAACTGCTATAAGTCAAGGATTACCTGTATTTTTAAAAAAATCTCATTTTCTTGTATAGTCACAGTTTCTTATTTTCTACTTTGAAAAACACATGCACACATACTTAGCTATTACTTTTCTGGGTAACCAACATTATACAAACTGCAGAAAAAGAGTAAGAACTGGACAAGAAACCATGCCTTCTCTAATGTAGTGTCTGCTTTCTGGAGCATCATACGATGTAAGATTTATGATGCATCAATCCTACAGCATTTTGTTCAGTCCTTAAAAACCTGGATATGGGTATGTGGTCTGCAGGTCAGGTGAACCCATCAATATTACTACTATTAGAAATAAATTCCACAGCTTAATTATGTAGTGTGTGTGTTTGTGTTTCTTATGTTATTAATCTCTCAAAATTTCAGAAATCTCCAAATAGAAGAATGAAAAGAGCAATGAATTTATTATATCTGTTGTAGAATAAGATGGAAAATCACAGGAAAGTAGTGTTTGTACATGACTGAAATACAATGCGATCTTGTTAGTACATGCATGAGAAATTACAAGGATTGTACGCTAGATTGGGAATTATTTTTAAAGTCCTGGGAGAAATTAGTGAAAAAACAGTTCTGTACTGTTGTGAAGAAAATTCTATGCAAGGGACCATAAAGTCAGTAAAACTAGTTCTGCACAAGCATCAGAAGCTTGAATAATCAAACGGAAACTTTTTAGTTCACTTTTCAAATCTATTTCAAAAAGCTCAGAAATCTTCTAGAATTAACACTCATATCAGCTTTTTGATATGCAGTTATCTGTTGTAGTTAGAACTCTTAAGTAGTATAAATTAATTTAACAATGTAACAATTTTTTTTACCATTCAAGAAAAGATTGTGTAGCATTAAATGTTCACACTAATGCACACTAATTCAGAAAATCAAGTCAGCTTTGCAAAAAGAAGTGTTGTGCTACATAGTCTGCACTCTTTCAATGGAATACCCTAAGAATTGAAATAGGTGTGGGAATCTAAACAAACTGAATTAAGGTAAACTATTTTAACTACAGTACTTGTGGATTTAAATTAGCAAGCCAACGTTAACATTTTCTTGTAAAAAACTATTTACACACTCTTATTATAAAACTGTATTAATTTATTAACTGAACAGTAAACCATCTATTTACAGATAGCCTAATACATTTATTAGGTGCCTTTCACAAATATTAACTGGCGTTAAAAAAAATATCCAAAAATGTGTCTGGACTATTCAGATATGAGTTCACTAACTCGCAAGTTTAATTTGTGTTCTAATACCATTCAAATGACACGTCCACTATATTCACCATACCACATAACTATTCTCTCATCCCTGAGAACAGTTGTACAAAATGGCAATTTGTACATGCAAAGATCCTTTCCCCCATAACTGAAATCTTTCCTAATTAAAAATTATTGCTGTTATGTTCTATCTCACTATCCTGTCTTTATCACATAGATTAAAAAAAAATACTTCAGAAAAGCTATTCTCAACAAAAGGTTTTGTTGTACAACACATATTTTAGCTACATTGTAATTCTGGAGCAATATAACATATAAGTGTATCTTCATTACCTGATTCACAAACACCACCACCCCCGGTTTATAAAATTAATCACAGCTAGAAGAGAAATCACTGTGAACTCCATGAATTACATCCAAGAGATGGGAAAGGATTAGTTCAGAGTTGCTGCCAGTTATAACGCCAGGTGGCTTTTTTTGCAGTGAAGGTGTTAGTGATAATCTCATTACACTGGTACTAAATCTTGCAGACATCAAAATTATCACC